TTCTCTAACGATGCAATCACCTGCATTTAATGGGGTTTGTGTATTTTTCACAGGATCATGATGGAGATCTCTGTATTTTCTTCTTTCTGGTGCTGTAGCATTTTCTGGGGTGAGAAACTGTATAGGCACTGGGGGAATCCCAGTCTGAGAACTCGACTGCACCTCATCCACAACATCTCTTTGCAATTTGTGTTTTACTTTTTTTTTTTTGCCCCTCCAATACAACTGTTTGATGAGAAAGCTCTATCTGTTGTTTACACAAAGCTTGCTAATTCACATTGTGCTTTCTCCGAGCAAGAGTTTTAACCTTCCTTTCCTTTGGTCATCTTGTCACTGAACTAGAATAAATGCATAAGGGATGTTAATTAACACACCTGTCCCTGCAAACCCCGCTCCAAGGGAGAGGGAAATGGCAGCTTCAGACCATATATTCGTGTTGTCAGCAAAACAAAGGCATTTGTGACATTCCTCAAGTTTATTGTGTGTTCTCAACATATTAAGAGTTGCCAAATAAGTGTTTTGCTGAAGCCATCCAAAAACATAAATAGAATTTTAATTCTCCTTTGGAGTCTGTGACCCCAATTACCCTCTGTAGCTCCTTTGAAAGGCTGTGCAACGGAACACATAATTATGAAACACTCTTGAATTACGACACAATGTCAAATTAACTTCAGTTGAATAGCTGGTCTCTGTTAAAAAAAAGGAAAATTCGATTATTAGAAAGCTGGAAGAGGTTCATGTCATGTGGGGTTTGAGACTTCTCAGCCCTTAAGCAGGTGCTCAGTTCGCTCTCATCCCCATCTTTGTACCTGGTGCTGAACTTCAGAGAATATTCTATCAGTTTCCTTCCACATGTCACACATATCTAGGGAAAAAACCCACAGATCAGGACATGGATAAATTAAATTTCTGTATATTTTTAAGAGATTTGTTTCCCTTTGCTGCTGAGGAGGGTGCAGAGGCTGTTGCTGTGTAACCAGAGGAAGGTCTGGTGGGGGCTCTGGTTGGAGAGGCAGAGATGCTGCCATGGATATATCCTGCCTTCTCCCAGGGCTTCTGCTATTGAGGAGGAGCTTTAAAGCAGGAGAGGAATTCCAAAGTGTTCCCCTGTGCAAGTGCTGTCCAGACACACGTGATGGGATTGTTTGGCCTCCCTCAGCCCCACACTTGGCTGCCGAGCTTTGCTGCCCCTTCGCTTCCCTTTTTCCGGTGCCCGGGCAGATTTGCTGGGTGGGATGAATGGATGTGCCCCCTCCCTTCCCCGGGCAGCCACAGGCAGCCTTTCTGTCCCAGCCATCTCCCTGAATACAAACCGGGCCCTGCAGAATCGCATCTTTGCCGCTCTCTGTCCGTTCTTTGTTCCCAGCCGCCTTTTCAGGCCTTTTCAAAACTCAGCTTGTTTCAGAGTGCACAGGGACCCCTCAAAGAGCCTTCTATCTGCACCAGGAATCCTGGCTGGGGAGGGAGCCGAGGAGCTGGGAGAATCTGTCACTAGGCCAGAGTTAACGTAGTAAGATTTCCCTCCTTTTGATCCCCTCTTGGTTTCAGTGCTCATGAATCGCTTCATTTCTGCAGCCCCCTGAGAGAGAAGCTCACAGGTTTGCCCATGAAAATGTTCCCTCCATTTGTGGCTGGAGGTTTGACAGTGCAAAGAAGCAGATGCTTCTACGAGGCACAGTCTTTGTGAATTCAGAGGGCACCTCCTGGCTGGTGAGCGTTCATCCCAGCACCAGTGTCAGTGGGAAAGGTTCTCCTGCAGAACCATGCTCTCTCTTCTGGAGTCAGTGCTGTCCTGTGGAAGTGTCTCTGTGGAAAGCAGAGGATGGGCTGCAGGGGCTGCAAGGAGACTGTCAAATGGTGCAAACTCCAACATTTTCCCATTCCTGGCCCTTACCATATCGATTGCTTTGAGTTCGGCTTGTTCTTCCTCTGAATCTGTTGAGCTCTGTAAGATCCCTTAAGATGCTCTTGGGCTCCACACAAGCGTGGAGGCTCCTTGAAGAACACGAGGTGCTGTGCAGGTGTTTAACTATGCAGGTGAGTGAGGGTGTCAGAGAAGCTGCTGGAGGATGTCCACGTGCCTCATTTCTGGATCTCTGCCCGTGAGCTGTGCAGGCCACACGCTCCTTCCTTTCTCTCTGGCTGCAAAGCCTCTCAGGCTGTCAGACAAGAGAGTGCCCACATGATGGAGAAGTGATTTGGATGCTGCTTGGAGCAGCCTGGGCTAGTGGAAGGTGGCAGGAAGTCAGAATGAGAGGAGCTCGAAGGTCCCTTCCAACTCAAACCCTTCTGGGATTCCACGTGAGGATGAGCCCCTCACCATCCCTGTGTCTTCTAAGTTCTTGTTTATAAGTGCATATTTTTACCTTTGACTGCTGCGTGTTAAAAAAAGTGTCATTACGAACAACTTTCACACGTGCAAATCTTTTAAATACCACGATGAGATCTGCGTGAGATCATAGCATTTATTCCAAAATGCCCAGTTAAACATATGACCTTTGGTTTCAGAAAGTAATTATCCCAAGCTCCTTTCGTGTGGGCTCCCTCCTCTTCCCTCTTTTGGATGATTTGTATGTGCTTTCATGTTTCCATTATAAAATTGCTGGAGGGATATTGCTACCCGTGATTTATATGTCTGCTGCACGTTGGTATTTCCAGTCCTTCTTCTAAAATAGCTGGACAGGTTTAATCTGAAGCTTATAAATCACTGGGTGGTAAATGAAGCGGGATTTTAAATAAGAGATTGTGGAAAAATGAGCTGAGCTTTCTTTTTCACAGTCATCATCATTAGATTTGGCTGTGGCAGAACAGCCTTGCACGAAGCAGGAGGGAAAGCTCCGGGGTGTGGAGCAGTGGGAGCAGTGGTTGTGCAGTGTGTTGTTCACAAGGGGGGTGAGGCACTTCATCGCTCTGCCATCCAGAGCATCCTCCTCCACCTCACCCAGCTGCCAGGGCCCTCCAGGGCCTCACTGCTCAGCACAAAACTGAATCAATTGATGCCTCAGGCCTGAAATTCTGCCTTGATTTGGGACTTCCCTCTGCCTCGGAGGAGAGAGGAGGCTGCAGGTTGGTTTCTGTTGCCAGGACAGTTGGATAGGACGGGTTTAAGTCATTTTATGTTCTGATTTCAGGTAACAGGAGGGGGTCTGTGAGCTGCCCCTTGCCCAGGGCAGGCTTGAAAAAGAGCTGGGGATTCTCAGAGCAGGTGGAAACCTCTTTGTTAGGCACTTGCTGTCCGTGGGGACAGTGGGAATATCAGAGGAGCACCAGGAGAGAGCTGGATTTGGTTGGATCCAGTGAGTTTCAGGCAGGGCACAAAAAATATACTTAAAAACTAAGTGAGAGCTGGTTTGCTTTTCTGTTTGGCTGTGCCAGTAAATGCACAGGACACTAATTCCTGAGCAATCCAGCAGTTAGACATAATATTCCTGCTCACAAACAAACAGAGTCTGATCAGTCAGCTGGTTGAGAGGAAAACCCGGGGTTTGTGATGGCTTGTAGATATTCCTCTCATTTATTGATGTTCATGTCAAACCCCCTCTGCTGGAAAATAGGAGTTTTGAATGTCAGGACTGTGGAATGAGCTCTTGACATCAAACTGATATTTGGAATAAAACTGGGAGGACTGTGGACTGGTTTTGCTGCTGCTGGGGCTCAGTGTCGTGACTGAAAGTCATATATATTTTTCTATAACAAGTATAAAAAGCAAAATAACTTGGAATAATTGTTATCCTGTTGGGAAGAAGGCTCCTGTGATGGAGCAGGATTCAGTCCCACTGCAATTGTGACCTCTAGTGGAAAACCAGTTTGTTCTCACAGTGATCATGCAGCGAATTGCAAAGTAACTCAGTGTTGCAATATTCATTATGTCTCGTGTCATAGCATTTCCAGGACTCATGGATGGTACAATCCCTTCAAGGCACCGTGCTATGTAAAAACCCACAACTTATTCCCACTGATGCTTCTGCAGAGTCTCAGCAGGTTTTTATAAAAGCTGAAGTTTATAAAAATACGGTCTCGGGCTTTCAGGAAGAGGCTTGAAAAAATAACTGCAGAAGCAGAAATTCCTTGGAGAAGGTTCCCTTAGCAGAAGTCCCATTGTTATCCCAGACAATATGTGGCAGCATTACTGGTGTGCAGATCTGCTGAGACACATCTAGACAGCAGCTCTGAGAGCCACTGTGAGGAAAGATTCATCCTGCCGCCAAACGAGCGGGCAGGAAGGTTTGGAGAACACAGCTGGGGAAAACAATCTGAACACAAAGCCCATGGCACAGCAAATGAAAATTACAGCTGGTATTTTTCATATTGGGATGAAGACAAAGCTGTTTATAATCCTAAATAATTCAGATATGTAGGCAGCAGGCTTTCTTTAATCTTTAAATAAAGGCATGTTGTCTTTGTGTTTCTCGCTGAGTGCATTTCTGTACATTTGTGTTTCCACCTCTTGCCCACCAGCAAGCAGCTATTTCATACAGACAGCAGCTTGTTTGGCTTTGAAATAGTTTTGAATTCTGACCAATAGCAGTAAAAAAAGGTGTGCTGTGTCCTTGTGGGCTCAGGTCTGTTTTACTTGGAGGTTTTTTACAGTTTGAGCATGAAGGATGGTAGGTGATAAATCACAGCTCAGCTCCTTGACAAAAATCCCATCCCCCAGGGTACCAATGACATTTGCTTGGTGCCCTGCTCGTTCCATCACCCTGCCCTGTCCATGGAGGCACTGACAGGCACTGAAATGGTGGAGGAGGGAGCACCTGTCACATCCATGGCACCTGCCTCACTCCAGGTTCCCAAAGCTCCAGGGAGCCTCCTCTTCCCCGGCTGGAGTTGGGAAATTGTGCCCTGGGGCTCTAATGATGAACTTTGAAGTGGAGCAGGGAAAAGGGAAGCATTCCCTGGGGACTTACAGCATCTAGTTTTGATGCCACGTAATGATAAGCGTTAGGGAAGAGGGGTTTGTGTGCTGGGACTGATTGAAGTCTCTTTCTTCTTATTTTCAGGGTATGAACATCATCTTCCATGTAGCCTTGGCTCTTTTAAAGGTAAGTGATTTTTTTTGTAATTTATTTTGTTTTATTAAACTGTCTGAAATAGTTTTAATCTTAATGTATCATGTCTAAAGGAACAATAATAATGGGACTTCTGGATTAGGGAGTGGAGGAGAAATACCATCCATTTGGGTAGAGACGGCTTCAAAATTGTACTTAACGATAGATCTGTTTTTATTAAACTTAAATCATGTCATAAAGTTTGTGGAACAGGGAGTACAGTCTGAGGGTTTGAATGTCTCGTGTAGTTACTGGTAAGAAAACAATTCTGATTCATTTGTTTCTGGGCTTGTTTGTAAAATAATACTGGTGGTAGGAACAGGTTCTGGGAAGAGGTAGAGGGACCAGCTTTAAGTGTTTTGTCACTTCTGTTGCAATAAGAGCTTTAGGAGTTGGTTGTAATTCTGCTTTCAGCAGTTCATGTGCAATGTGTGTGCATGCAGCATGCTGCATCTGCGTATTCCTCTGAGCAAATGGCAAGGGAGGTGTTACCCTGGGAAGGTATTTCCATAGTGCAGCCAAAAACGAGAGCAAAGAAAATCCAGGGAAGAGAGAGGAGATTCTGAGTCAGAAATACTCACCTAAGAGCACAGCTCCACGGTGGCAGGGAGATGGAGCTGGTGTTTATAAACAGCTTTATGACCTGCTTTCAGCAGGAATGGCTCTCTGTTGGGGAAGGAAATAGTTTGGTGCTGTGAGACCTGAAGCAATTTTTTTCCTACTCAAATGTGTCCGTAATTTCTCCTAATCATTAGGAACAAAGTGGTCCTAAGGGTCACTCAGGAGCTGCTCTTCCTGAGTGACAGAACCTGAATGTGCTGCAGGAAAAAATGCCTTAAGAACTTTGTTTCGAAACTCAGGTTTCTCTTTAAGTCTGAAATGAATGAAAACAACTCCTAAGGATTTGTTCTTTGTTAGACTGATTATTCTCCCGTCCACAGTCTCTTGGATTATTTTAAGTCTGGCTGAGGGAATCCTTCATCAGCGGAATATCGGAGTCTTCATTGTGTAAATGCCATTTTCCTCGCTCCCAGTGAAGTGTGTGCATCCAAATCCCTCATTAAATAGCAAGGGAAGAGAAGCTTTTACCTGGCACTCAGTGCTGTGTCTCACTGCTCCAGCTGCTGGTGCTCTCAGGGAATGCCTGTTGGTTTGGGAATGACAGTGCTGCTTCTGTGACTGATCACCCCAGACATCTTGGTGTGGCCGTGTCTGGGAAATCAACACTCCTGACACGAGGGGCCTCCTTTCCCTTTCCTTCTCCCGCACTCCCAGTGTGGGATTTCTCCTTGAAGGAGAAGCTGTGGGTTTTTTTGGTCTGTGGCATCCGAATGTTTGTGCCTTTCTGCTCTGCCCAGCCTGCCCGGGCTCCCCAGCTGGTGGCACTGTGTTACAGCGGGAATCAGCCACAGATTTACAGCAGGGAGCAACTGCTCAGGAAGCTGAGCTGGTAGGAGAGCAAATCCCTCACCTCTCGTTTTCTGGGCAGTGCACAATGTGGTGAAGTGCTGGGGTGTGAAAAGAACCCCAGTGTGGACAAACCTGCACTTTAGAACAACTCAACAAACACCACTGAGATCATCAGTTTAAAAATCCCAATGTAACCATTCATTGAGAGTGACAGAGGAAAATGGAATGGGCTGTCCAGGGAGGTGGTGGAGTCACCATCCCTGGAGGTTTTTAAGATGAGACTGGATGTGGCATCAGGGTTGGAGCAAGGGTTGGACTTCATGATCTCGGAGGTCTTTTCCAACCTGGTTGATTTTATGATTCTATGAAAATGTACCATTCCCAGTCCCTTGTCTCATCAGCTAGTTTGTTTCTTTATTGGAAATTAAAAACACTTAACATCTTCATATATGCAAAGAAAAAGAAATCATTTATAAGCTTTCTTTCATATTTTAGTATTTCACAGAATCACAGAGTTGGAAGGGATCCACAAGGATCATTGAGTCCAACCCTTGGCCCTGCCCAGGACATCCCAACAATCATTCCCTGTGCCCCAGAGCATTGTCCAAGCCCTCCTGCAGCTCTGGCAGCCTTGGGGCTGTGCCCACTGCCCTGGGGAGCCTGTTCAGTGCCAACCACCCTCTGGGGGAAGAACCTTTCCTGAGATCCACCCTGAGCCTGCCCTGACACAGCTCCAGCCATTCCCTGGGGGCTGTCACTGTCACAGAGAGATTTCACTGATTAATTCTTAAATGTTTTGTTTCTGATCCTGCAACTCAACAAAACCAGCTAAAGGCATGCTTTGTTTGGGGATTATCAAACTGAGGCAAGTATTAAAGTATTTAATTGTGGAGAATTCCTGCTCTAGATTAACTGCTGTTGTGGCTGGCAACTCCTGGAAAGGCAGGGAGGAACACACAGTCACTGCAAATGCAAGAGTGAACCAGAGGCTTTTAAAACAGGTCCATATCCAAACTGTTCTTTCTGAGGGTTCACCTGCTCAAGGAGTGTGTGATTCAGAGCACATAAACACTTGGCTTGCGGAGGTTTGAGCTGTGTGACTGGTAAGAACATGTTGCTGAATGCCAGAGGAAAGGCACAGTTTTGATCAGGAAGGGGCTAGGGGGCAGCATCCCAACTACAGTGGCAGGGATGGCAGATGTGGATTTAAAAACAAGTGTCAACATCACCTTGGATAAGGAGGGTTATTTGTTATCTTTATTTCATTCCACATCTGGGCTGAAAAGAACCTCCTGAGCCCAAGAACTGCCTCTCTACCCCAGTATGTGCCATGACATCCATTTCAGGACCAGTAACAGCAGCAGCGCTGCTGGTGCAAGGCCATTTCCCTTATCCTGTTCGAATTTATTTCTGATCACTTTACCCTCAGCTGCTCTTACATCAGCATTGTCCTTCAACTCCAGCAGTCCCCTTCCAGCACCACTCACGCTGGTGTTCATCACCTTGAAGTGTTTGTAGAGACCATTCACAGTGTTTATTGAATAAACCAATATTCTCAGTGTTCTTGAACTCCAGAGCATCTTAGTCATTCTCTTCTGCATCGCCTCCAATCTGCAGGAAACTTTTTAGAGGTGACAGGATCTTGAAGAGAGGTCACAGTTAGTTTTCTGCACTCATGTTGTATTTCCTGAGTCCTGAAAGGTCTGCTTCATCTGATAACTCTGAGGATTGTGTTGTTCTCTTATATTTGTATGGGATATTACTGCTCACTAACCAAAGGGCTCCACAAATACTGTTTCTCTTCTTTAGGTGGGGATTTGTGTAAGAGCACAAATTCTGAATAAAGTCACGCTGTACTTCTGTCTCCATTCCCATTTCAGTTCTTAAGGAACACACAGGGAATTGTAGGTTTTCTTTTTTCCCTTTAATTCTTTGGCCAGAACATCTAACCCCTCCTGGGTTTTGCCCACCAGTAAAACTTGGATATTGTGAATGCAGATAATTAAAACATGTCAATTGTCTTTGAGTCAGGAGTGACAATGGCTCAGTCCACTCTGGGAGTGCATTCCATCTTCAAAAGGCTCTTTTCAAGATAACCAGCAGTGTCCACATTAGAATCTAAGGCAAAAAACCCGCATTCCTTATATCTGTACCCCCTTGTTTAGCTCCTTGTGCAGCTGATCCGGGGGTAAGAGCTGACACTTCTGGAAGAGAAGAGCATCCTGACTCTTCGGTGCTGGAGAGGAGAACCAGCTGTTCTCTTTTCAAGGCCTTCTGCATTAGGCAGAGGGCAAGAAATTCAGTTTTTAAGTTTCTCAGCTTGTATTGTTCTTGTATTTCCAGTTCCTAAATTGAAGATGTCCTTAAGCTGGAGGTTTTTTGGGGCTGAAGAATTCCTCCCCTACCCCAAAAAAACAGTACTGAGTGACTTAGTGGAGATGATCTCTTTAGAAAAAGAAATCTGTGCCTGAAAATATCCAGAATCATTCAACTTCCAGACTACTGATTTTCCAACCTCAATAGAACCCATTTCCTATTTTTGAAAGTCCACATTTATCTGCCTGCTGCAAATCCATCCTGCCCTGCCCAGTGAATTTCTTGGCCCATTTGATCTCCTCCTCACACCTAAAATCAGCTCAGTTTCTGTTGGGTGCATGTTGACCATAAATGTTGAATTTTGAGGGTGGAGTTGTGTTCTCTTTCAGGGAGGAGTAGCCTGATAGCAGAGAAAATAACATGAAATTTGTCTGCATTTCCTTAGCACTGATCTAGATATTGATGGTTCCTCCTGTTCCGTGGTCTGTTGGTGATTTCTAGATGTTGGAAAGTGAAGGTGGTGTTTTCAGGGTTCCATCCTATTGCTTTTATTATTAATTATTATGTTTTATAATATGGAAATGTGGCGTGGATGTCTCATGGACGTAGCAAATCTTTTTCGCTCCGTGGGAAAATGTTTCAGGATTGAAGTAAATAAACACATACCAGTAGTCACTCCAGACCACACCTGCAGCTTATCTACCCCGGTATCTCCCTGCCAAGGGTGCATTCATGGGAGGGAACCCGTCAGAGCAGGGCAGTAATGCTCTTTTCTGTGCCTCTGGCAGTCTGTGTCTTGCAGACTCCCTGAGAAGGAGGTGGTGTCTCGTGTTCAACAACCCTGCATGGATTGCTGTTCCGTGGCTTTTTCTGCTGGCTCTTTATAAACATGTGAAAATGAGGAGCTGCAGGGGTTTTCTCAGCTGAATGATCATTTTGTTGGCTCTGAACTGTCACCTGTGACTTGCACGTGAGGGTCCTGTGTCAGGAGGCGTTTTGGACTCGGGATCTCTTCCCTCTCTCCACACCACCCAGGATTTTGTTATTCTGCATATCCCTTGTCACCTTCTATTTTCCAGGCCTAATAACCATAGTCTATTTTTGTCTCCCCTGGAGCCTCTGATGAGATCTATCCCCTCCCTAAAAGCTTTTCTGTCTCTATTATCTGCTTTTTGAGAAGGGAGGACCAGAGTAATGCATAATATCAGCGATGCAAACACACCGTGGAGTTGCAGAACAGTGGCAATCTCTGTTAAAATCTCTGCTAA